TGTCTGTCTACTGATGAATACATTAATAACACATAGTGTACCCATACAATGGGATATTATTGGGCTATATAAAGAAATGAAGTACTGGTATATGCTACAACATGGATGACCCTTGGACACATTATGCCAAGAGCCCAGTCACAAAAAGACCACACAGTATAATTCTATTTATGTGAAATTTTCAGCATAAGCCAATCTATAGAGACAGAAACTAGTTTAGTGGTTGTCTCAGGCTGGAAGTAGGGGTGAGGACTGAGGGAAAAGTGGGAAGTGATTGCTAATGGATATTGGGTTTCTACAAAAATGTTCTAAACTTGATTGTGGTGATGGCTGCACAATGCTTTGAATATACTAAAAACCATTGAACTATATACTTTAAATGGCATGTTATATATCATGTTAATTGTATCTCAGCAAAACTATTTTTATTTTATGAGTAAATGTGAGTGAGAAATTGGAGACAGCATATGTACGAAACTATGTGATTAACAGGGGTAGAGAAAAGGCAGAGACTGGGATGGGGAAGCCAAGGGAAGGAGTTTTTTTGTTTCTTGTTTTTTAAGGGTGAGAGACACTAAGTCATCTTTGAGAGCATCTGGAAATGATCAAAGAGAAAGAGGTGGAAGATGCAGGAAAGTGAAACAATTGGTGAAATAAACATGGTCTCTCAGAAGGCAGAAGGAAGTAGGGTCCAGATCCTAGATGGATGGACTGGCCTTTTATGGATGTAAAAACAGCTTCTCTGTAGGAGAGAAGAAAGAGAGCATAGTACAGGTCCAAGAAGGTTGATGGATTAAGTGATGGGGAATATGAGGAGTAACCAGTCCAGAGCTGTGGACTTGGAAAAGGGGAAGAAGGCATGAGAAGTTCGGACAACAGGAAAGGTGTGAAATGAACACAGTGGCTGCTGGGAGAGCAAGCTTACTAGAGAAAACTGGTCAAGTTTCCAGGAAGTATCAGGGGTGGTTGATAATGAATCAATCAGATGACTTTTCTTGGCAGTGCTCATCAGTTGGGTGCAGGCACAGAGCAGGCAAATAATTGGGTTAATCTGCTGAAACAGGCTCCAGAAAGTCACTAATGACTCAGTCCTCATTGTACTCCAAGATTCGAAAATAAGTAACAAAACTGACATCATCTCTTTCTTTGGGTTTCTGGGGCCCACACCTACTAGTTTTCTTCTTTCTTTTGTGGCCACCACTTCTCATCTTCCTTTGATATCATAGTCTCCTTACCCAGCTACCTTTAGGCACTGATGGGGAATAACATGAAAAAGATGGAACATGGTACCTGCTTTCCTGATACTTAATTTTATTAGGAAAAACAGACAACCAGTAAGCAATCACATAATGCATCACTTAATTTCAACTGTGATCAGGGGTACCAAGGAGATGTAAGGCACTGGGAGCAGGAAGTCCTGACTTGGTTTGGTATCCCTTTTACAGGAGATTTACTAACAACACACTTTGCAGGGAACAGATATTCAGTAACTATGTGCTGAGTATATGAAAGACCAAAGAAAGAGAAAATAGTAACTTTGTAGCTTGGAGTTGCTCTAATAGTATGTGTTTTTCTGTTTGTTTGTTTGCTTTGTAAGAATTCAACCATTTTTTAAGTGGCAGAAAGAGTACACCTGGGACAATGACAAATTTATATCCTTAGGGAAGACAAAAAGAGCCATACTAGTAGAGAAGAAAAAATGGCTGCATCTCAGTCACAATCTGTAATAAAATCAGTGTTGACTTGACTACACTTCAGTTCATTAGAAGAGAGGTGTGTTTTGAAAGGGGAAAAAAATCACCTATTTACAGCATCTTGCAAAAGACTTTTGACAATCTTTCTTCAAATAATAGGAGATACAAAGATATATATGACATAGTTGTTTCTGTCAAGGAGCTCATAATTTAGTGACAGAAGAGATGATATAAAGACAACAAAAGATGCAAAGAAATATGATGGTTTACATTAGAATTTTTCGAGAAAAAGTAAGAGTACCAGCCTTCAATCTTGTGTTTTCAGTGGCTTGAAAATAAAAATTAGTTGCGAAGAAAGCAAGAGGATTAAGAGTAAACACATGCAGATGTCTCATGCCAAGATGGGAACCTCTGGCAGGAGCAGTTCCAGGGAGTAGTCTTAGAGGCCAAGATGAACCTGCAGGAGGTCTCTTGGGGAGTAGTCTCGGGCTCGATACATATGGAAAGGAAAGGAAGAAAGCAGGATTGCTCAGGACTGTGATGCAGGACTGGCGACCCCCACATTGACCCACGAGGAGTTCTCAAGCTGTATTTGGCCCTGGTTGGGGTGAGAGGAGGGGTCTTATAGCTCTGTGGTGACCATCATGATTTGCAAGCAGCTCTCGAGAAGGGAGAGTGACATTGGGCAATGAGCCTCGTCAGCCAAGGAAATTGTTGAAGGAGAGGTGACTGATGGCAGGTGGGGAAATAAAGTTTGGTCCTTAAGGGAGATCAGAAGAGCATGTCACAGTGCCCAGGCCCAGGGTGGCACTTTCATTCCATTTGTTACCATAAGATCCTCAAATAAGATCGGTGGACTGATACGCAAGCCATCCAGAGGAGCAAAGATGGGACTGACTGCATAGAAGTATACATTCTTATATTTAGTTCAAACCAAATTTCAATGACAAATGGACTTACTTGTTAGAAGATCAGGGGCATCTGTTGCAAACATTTGAGACATTCCTTTTGATTAACCTTGAGAATTAGCACAGATAATACCAAGGCAAGGAAAAGCTAACAAAGCTGAGCTGGGCAATTTGTAGCACAGACAGGATCAGCTGCAAGTCTTTCATCTTAACTGTTTCATGTATCGAATTCAGGCTTTGATGTACAGAATTCGAGTTTCTGCAAAAGGCTGTGTTTATGTAGCTCAATCCATGTGCTGTTGAAAGGGCAGGACCTTCCCTTGCCAATTCTTGGCAAAAATGGGAACAAGATCGACTGAAGTGTCATCCAGGCCTGTTCTTATCCTGACATGGCTTATCCTGGAGGCTTATAGTTAGGACTCATTATTGAATCTTTCCCCAAGGCAGGTTGAGGCAGGTACCCTGCACCCAGATCTCTCCTTTGACATTCTCTCCAGTCTCCTCTTCTGACCTCTTATCATCTTCTAGTAGCCAGGGGCTATTTGTACCTTCTCTTCTTAGGAAGTGCTTCAAATGTTTTCTTTCAAGCCTGTGTTTCCCAGTATTTGCATTGTGGACCATCTGCATTAGAATGTGGACCATCTGCATCAGGAATATGTTTGAAAGTCAGGTTTCTGAATCCCACCCCAGACCTACCAATTCAGAATCTCTGAGAAGGAGAACCAGGAATCTGTGGTTTTTTCAGAAGTCTGCCAAATGATTTTTATGCACAATGAAGCACCCCCCTGCTCCTGTCTCATGGACTCAGCTCTCACACAGGATGAATAGGGCTAAAATGAAGTCTGATAATGCTTAGCATGTTGTCCATCTCACAGATGGCTCAGTTAAAAAACTGGAAATGGTCTCTAAGGACTCAGACTCAATGTGGAAATTTCAAACATCAGAGCAAGATGATTACTAGAAGCATCCTCCTTCCCTTCTCCTCCTTTCCTACACATTTCCTTTGGTGATAGAGACTTGTCTTCTGCCCTCCTTCAATCTTGGATCCTCTATAAATACATGTGTTGGTCAGGGAACTCGGTAGACAATCTCAGATTTAATATATTTATGTTTAATAACTTCTCATTAACTAACTCAGTACTGGGGAAGGCACGTTGCAACCAGACATGAAAACAAACTTTTGCATTCCCAAGGGAACCATCTAACTAAGCATTGTGTCAAAAAGAAAGCAAACACAAAAGATTTCATATTGTCGAATAAGTTTGAAGTATAGTAAATTAGAAGCGAGCCTTTTCTTTACCAGAGAACTCAGAGCCTTTAATATGCTAGTGTACATTATGAATTCCCCTGAGGAGATTACATATGCACTGCATCCCGGCTTCTCTTGGGGAACTCTTGAAATTGTAATACTATGTGGATTGCACTTTGGGAAAGATTGTTCTAGATTTTAGCAGATTGCCTGACCATAAGTTACACTCTTGCTGTTGCATAGTTCACACCGTCTACATTCTGAAAATTTTTGGCTGAGTTTGATTTCAGGTAATTACTATGACTGCTTAGGTTCACCTTGGGGTTTGATTTAAAATTTCATCAAAAGTGCTTTTGCTTTCATTTTCTGTCATTTTAAGAAACTTCAGATTTCAGATCCATTTTTCATACTTTATTAAATTTACTTTTAAGCAAACTACTCAAGGCTTGGCCAATGTTTTGCAAGTGGATTTTGTTTCTCCTCCTTTTGGTTGAAAGAATTTTAAAACATTTTTTAAAATTGAATTATCAGTGGAGAACAGAGGAGCCTGGCAGTCCACAGTGTCGCAAAGATTCGGACACCACTTGTGACTGAACAACAGCAGGAGTTGATTTATGGTGAAAGAACTTTCTTAAACTAAATATCAATGTTCCTGTTATCAGTGTTTATTTGAAAACTTCTGTTCGTTAGAGACTCCTATTTCTACTTTATCCCTTTTAGTCTGTCTAGTGTTTTGGTATTTGCAGGGAAATGCCTTCTGAAACAGCATTTGCATCTATCTTAAATATTTCAATTCATACAGTTTTCAGTATAAAGTTCTGTCTGCTTTTTAAAGAATTCAGATGTTATTTTCACAAATACTTCACATATTTACTTCTCTTAAATGGCTACTATCATTTTCCCAGAAAAGGTCAGAGCTTCTTTATTGATAATTTCTTGAATTTCCTTTAAATCTTGAACAAGTTTTACCATAAAGTGCCAATGGGAAAACAATACAGATTTTTGTCATAAAGACCTAATCAAGAATAGATAAGAGCACTGAAGTTTTAGGAATTACAAGTTGAATTCATGCCATTCAAATTAATCTCAGAAGTATATCACTGTATAGCTATAATAAGGTTATAATGTTCTAATGGATTTTGTTTTCAGCATCCACAGAGGTGGGCTGTGATGCAGTTTGGGAGAAGGATCTCCATTCACGCATTTGCTACCAATTCAACATGCTTTCCTCCCTCTCCTGGAGTGAGGCTCATTCTTCATGCCAGATGCAAGGAGGTGCTTTATTAAGTATTGCAGATGAGACTGAAGAAAATTTCATAAGGAGTAAGTAGGTGTATAATGCACATTGATGTTGGTAAAATTAAAATGATGTTGTTTACAATTATGTCCATGTATGCCAAGATGTCTTCTGGAAAAAAAATTCCCTTGGAAAATATTCTTTTATTAACATAGTCCAAAGTCACACCCAGAATTTTAACCTGAACCCTGGGCCATTCCCTTTGACACCTGGCCATGTCTCTCTTGTTTTCTCCACCTTGGAAAAGACATGTTGAGGTCACAGCAAGGGACCTAGGAGAATCTGCAGCTCTAACAAGTGAATATGGAAGAGTTCTGAAGTTAAGTCCGAATTCCTCCTTTGGTGGAGATCTTAGTCATTCTGTTTCCATTAATAAATATAAGCTGTTTACTAATTAAACAAAATCTTACCTGTCTGTCACTACATGCAGTAAGTAGTAGGCTTTCCGCTGGATGCCAAAGAACTTAAAATTTGATTGGAAAAGCAAAGGTACACACATGTTAACTAACACTATAAAATAATAACATAAACTGTCAAAAGAATGCTAATAAGCTGGGTCTTGTTTTTTTTACCTCTCACCTAAACTCTCTTCTTACTTCTCTTTTATAGATTAAATGTTTGTAGATATTTACATAGAGCAATTTCAATTTTTTTGGAAACATTTGAAAGTGTCACAAAATTAGCCACTTTCATGAAAAGTTTCTGACTTTTTTTTCAAATTATATTGCACATATTTATTCTAGAATAACAATAATAAAATTATTCTAGGATAATTTTTAAAGTTCAAGTATACAGAAAGAAAAACAAAAGAAAAATCTCTCAGAGTTCCACAATCCAAAGATAGCCATTTTTTTCCCTGCAAAATCTCACATAAATGCATTTATGCATACATCCACAGTATCTATGAAGAATGATATTGAATAAAAACACGAGGCAGTTGTGCAGAGGCTAGGAGCTGGAACCAAAGAGCCCCCTGTGTGGGTTTGAATCCCACCTCCATCACCTACGAGCAGGGCTAAAAAGATAATTTAACCTCTCTGTGCCTCAACTTCTCCCCTCTATCAAATGAAAATAACAACAATGCCTACTCTTTGGCAGCGTGGAGTACATGTCATAGTGCAGGTGAAATTTTAGAAAAGTGTCCGGGACACATAACAAACACGCAGTGTGTATTGACCACTTAACAGCAACTGCGGGTACAAATGCTTATGTAATTTACGTGTATAATGAACATCTGTCCATGTCTAGAAATAAAGATCTTCATTATAAGTTTCAGTGGTTACATAGCGATACAGGTTAGTGATAATATATTTAGCTAATCTCTAATATTAGATAGGGATAGGTGGATAAAATTCTTTGTTTTTATTTATTTCTTTATCACTATTGAAAACCATCCCTGCACATACCTTTGTGCATAGATCCCCAATTATTTCTCTGTAAGTTTTTAGTAGTGGATTCACTGGGTGGAAGGGGAAGCACATTTTAAGGCTTTTGAAAGTCATTAATACCTTCCAGAAGAATGGTAACAGATGCGTGAACAGTATGTATCGGCCGCTTTCCCCACAGACATGCAGAAGTGGGAAATTATCATTGAAACTCAATTTGAGTGAGTCATATTGCAGGAAAACACCCATTTCCAATATCAATATTAGCCTTTAATGGTATTCATAGAAATTATTTATGAATTATAATTGTTATCTATTTCAATTGCTGGAATATCTAATAAGAGGGTTTGGATTTATTCATCAAACTTGAATACAGATGAAATAAATAAGATATGTCAGAGACTTTGATTTAAATACCACAATTTTATGATTAGATTTTGGAGATGTTTGGAAAAACAGAAATCTTTTCATAAAGATGGAAGCTTGTTTTGACTAAGGTATTTTTTAATGATGAGAACAGTCTACAGTCTGTAGACTGTAGTCTACAAACTACAAAATACTCTACTGTTGTTAATTGCTGATGAACATTAGCCATGTTACAAGGAATTATCCATGCTGCCACAAATGCCAAGAAATAGCCAAAGAAATTTAAATTTGAATTTATTATTATAGAATTGTGAGCCCATTTACTTGTGAAGCTAAATAGACTATTTTTGTACTTTTAAACACAGCTTATAAGTTACACAATGATTTTCTATGTATTGTTAGAACAGAGAGGTTATTCAAAATAACTCTAAGATAATAATAATTAATACTTAAATATTTTAAGTAGGTTACTTGAAAGCATCACTTGGCACTTGCCCCAATATGAAATGTGGACATTTCTCCATCTTATCAATCCATCTTCCATTTTCCCTCTTGTTATGATGACACCAGATAGATGATTTAATCAAATGGTAGTCTTCCCAGGTGGCTAAGTGGTAAAGAATCCGCCTGCAAAGCAGGAGACTCAGGTTTAATCCTTGAGTTGGGATGATCCCTTGGAGAAGAAAATGGCAACCCACTCCAGTGTTTTTGCCTAGGAAATCCCATGAACAGAGGAGCCCGGCGGGCTATTGTCCACGGGGTAGCGAAGAGTCAGACATGACTTAGCAACTAAACAACAACAACAACAAAGCTTTTGGAAGGACTGACCAAATAGACATTACGAAGAGACTCATGTTTATGCCACATAATCTTGGAAGGGCAGGGCCCATGAATGTTATGCTGTTCAGTGATTTAGGGGATCCCCAAATTATAAAACACCTTTTTCTCTTTCCTTAAAGGTTTAGGTTCTTCTAGTTTTCCACTGTTGTGTTGAGATGCCCTATCACAGAAGGCTCTGGAGCCTTGTGATGTGAATGCACAATCTTTGCAACCTGGGTGACCATGCAATTGATCATCCCAACTGAGACTCTTTTGAGAGTAAAAGGGGCTGCCATTAATACTTATTCTGGAACTACCAGCATAAGCCATGAATTTTCCAGGCAAACTGGGACAGTCACCCTATTTATAACTCTTATCTGTCAGGGTCTCAGTCTCAGGCAGGGTCCCTGCATCTGGCTCAGAAGAAACTGAGTTCTGAAGCAGATGAATCATAAGGGATCAATGCCCTCCTTTATAGATGAAAAGATTAAATGGCAACATTTAAAAATGTTGCACAATTAGTTACTTTCACTAAAGCCTTTGACACTAGTTTTTTACCCCAGATTTTATAGCACAAGTAGCACGTATTTATTCTAGAATAATTTTTAAAGTTCACATACACAGAAAAATCAAAGAAAACTTTCCTCTAATTCTATAATTTTGATAACCATATTTTTCTACACAAGCATGTCAATGCACATGTTTCTATGTAGCATTTACAACAAAAATGGCATTGAATTAAAAAGGAGGAACTGTGGCACAGTAGTTAGGAGCAGAGGCCACAGGGTCAGCCTGCCAGGAGACACTCTCCCACCTCCAGCTGAAGAAGCATTTGCACAGCTCATGGCCCGACCTGCTGTTGATTGCTCTGGATACCCTGGCCCCTAGGACGATGCTCTCCTCTTGGCCAGACAGCTCCCACTCCTTAACTGGGGAGCCACCTCCCTGCTTGCTTCAGCATACCTTAAATTTGAAGACTTGCCTCCCAACACTAGTAATACTTAATCTGCTTTCCTCTCCCTTGCCAGATTCCTAAAAGACAAAAAAGGTCCCCTAAATTGTTCAATTTTTTAACTGTGAAATGTTTCAAGAGTGGAAAAATTATGTCTGTGTGCACACATACCCATTATACAGATATAATAGCATTTCTTCCTATTCCTTTTGTTCAGGCCTGAGGCGGCCTCAGCATACTAGAGTCCTGAGCCTCCAGACTGAGGCCCCCAGACACACATGGCAAAAGAAGGAAGACAGAGGGGCACTTTCTCGGACTGGCCCTGGGCACTTTCTCCTTCACGCTCTAGAACCCTCAAGTGCCTGAGTTCACACAGGTCGGATGGTCTCAAATTTGTAACCATGAACTCGATGGATTGATGACCGCTGAGAGGCAGCATTCCTGGGTACCTAGATTAAGCACTTCACAGCTGCTTCAGTGAGCCTTTAGGAAACCGCCAAGTGTTTCTTAGGCTGGCTTTTTTTACTCTGAACCACCAGGGTGGGGTTTAGTAGCACTCAAACCCCTTTCTAACACTGATGGAGTTAATTTATGAATCCATGCTCCAGGAATAGGAAAACAAGAAATAAGTGTAATGTTAATTTTGTTTTTGAAACTCCGTATTTCTCTTATTTCAGAGCACTTGGGCAGTGAAGCAGTGGAAGTATGGATGGGTCTGAATCAGCTGGATGAAGATGCTGGCTGGCAGTGGTCTGATAGAACACCACTCAACTATCTGAACTGGAACCCAGGTACCTGCAGCGTTTTGCATACCTCTGACTGAGGGACTCACCCCACAGCCTAAATAGCAATATTTCCCATGTACATATACAACACGTTATTGTGAAAGTGGCTTATAAGTGTTTTTTAAAGCCTGATTGAATTTCTATAAGGCATGCTTTTCCGAACAAGAAATGGAGGCCAAGAAGGTAAGCCATTTAGCCAAGGTTTCAGAAGGATTTGGGTCAAAGGCAAGATTCTAGTCAGTTGTTTTAAAAATAGCAACAGATTGAAAAATCTCTCTCTACCCTAAAACAATAAAATCAGCTGTTTCTATCTTTGGGAAATCACTGTCATGCCTAGACTTCAACTGCAAAATCATAAATATACTATCTTACAGAATTACTACATATGCCAAAGAGAAAGTTTGTCTCCTTGATGCTAAAACTACATTTCAGTATATATTAAACTGCTTTTGCTTCTAACAGTAAGTGCACAAACATTGTGTTTCAGAAATAAATTTTGAGCCATTTGTTGAATATCACTGTGGAACATTTAATGCATTTATGCCAAAGGCCTGGAAAAGTCGGGATTGTGAGTCTACCTTGCCCTACGTGTGTAAAAAATATCTAAATCCCACTGATCATGGACTAGTTGGTAAGTGTTTCTGTGTTATTTTTATGAGTTGTTTGCTTGTCCTCTCAATATATTCAAACTCCTCTATTTTTTGCTAATAATTTATAATTTAAACTTAGCTAAAACTAGTCTTTATACAAATAAAAATGTGTAATGAGATAAGATCTGTTATTCCCAAGGCACCATGAATTTAACAAATGCATTTAGGTTTTTACTAAAAACTAAAGCATTCTAACCTAAGTATAGAAAATATCTTCTCCCTCTCTTTTTAAAAAATTGGCATTCTTACTCATTCTGCTTAGAAAAACAAGATATGCTTCCTTTTCTATTCTAGTTGAGTTTTATTTATGATTACCCTAGAAATTAAACATATGAATTACAAAATAGTTTTATAAAATTCTTTACTTCATTGGTGTCCTATCATACTCTGTATCTCTTATTAGTAATATTTTCTCCTCAAAATAACAAACAAAACTTTTAGGTGTACCTAAGACTTAAATACCACATAATTACAATCTAGTACCTGAAGCCCAATTACTTCCACTCTTGAGATCTATTACTTCTTTTTAATTTTATGGAATTAATGTCTTAACTCAGTAAGTAGAGATAAAAATATAGCCATTTTTAAAAGAATCATTACCAGCATAATTAGAAACAATTCCTTAAAAAAATTTTTTTTTGTATTTAGAAACAACAGTTCTTTTTCAGATTCTTTTCCATTATAGGTCATGACAAAGTACTGAATATAGTTCCCTGTTTTATATAGTAGGTCCTTGTTCTTTATCTGTTTTATATATAGTAGTATGTATCTGTTAATCCCAAATTTCTAATTTATCCCATATTTCCCCTTTAGTAATCATAAGTTTGTTTACAATGTCTGTGAATCTATTGTCAATAAGTTCATTTGTACCATTTTTTTAGGTTCCACATATAAGTGATATCACATGATATTTGTCTGTGCCTGACTTACCTCACTTAGTATGAAATTTCTAGGTCCATCCATGTTGCCACAAATGGCATTATTTCATTCATTTTTATGGCTGAGTAGTATTCCATTATATATATATATATATTCCATCATCATATAAATATATATACATACCACATCTTCTTTATCCACTCATCTGTTGATGGACATTTAGGTTTCTTCCATGTCCTGGCTATTGTAAACAGTGCTGCTATGAACATTGGGATGCATGTATCTTTCTTAATTAGACCTCTTGTCTTTTTTGTATATATGTCCAGGAGTGGGGTTACTGGGTCAAGTGGTAGTTTGTTGGTCCTTTATTGGACTGGAACCTGGTGGTCCAGAGTTGACAATAAGAGAGTGGAAGAAGGAAAGAGGCTAGTATTCCCTGGGTTACGCAGCCGGCTTTCGTGCTCCAGGGAATCAGCCAGAAATATATATATATATATATAGAGAGAGAGAGAGAGAGACATGGGGACCCAAGCTCTGATGGAGCAAAGGTGTTTTAATCAACATGGTGTGGGCATATGGACTGTCTTACAAGGTAGTTATTCTCAACAAAGATAAAGATTAAAATTCCAGACTTAACAAAACATAAGGCGATCCCTACTAAAGAGAGAGAGTTGTAAACAATCACTTTGTACCGTATGGTTCATAAGAAGGAAGAGGGTACTTATCACCATATTGAAAAACTAATGAAGGAAATGCCTAGATTCCTCAGCCCGGGGAAAGGCATGCCTCTCCTCTTAATTCCTGAATATTCAGGAATTAATAAGGACCAGAGGATTCCTGACAGATCCAAAACAGCACACAGGAAGCCTCCTGTTAAATGCTTCCTGACAGTAGTTCTATTTTTAGTTTTGTAAGGAATCTCCACAACGTTCTCCATTGTGGCTGCACCATTTACATTCCCACCAACAGTGTAGAAGGGTTCCCTGTTCTCTGCACCTCCTTACAATTAAGCTTTAACTTTTATTTTCCTTTAAGTAGCTAAATCTAAAGATATTATGGAATATGGGGGTGGGTAGAAGAAGCACTTAATCATTTTTTTCTCTAGATTTTTTTCATTATGTCAAAAATGTGTTGACATTGCTATGGCTATTATCATCCTGTCCCTCCCTCTTTTCCTTTCATTTTCTTGCCTCAATTTCTTCTACCTTGATTTTTTTTTTTTTTTATGCCCTCCTGCACATCCTCCTGCTATCCTTCTTTTCTTCTATTTTATTTGCTGTCCTGATCTATTAATTGAGGAGAGAAGACCAGAAATAATGACAGTTAGGCTAAGTTTGTTTGGATTATTTGGTGCTGTTTCAGGTCCAACAAATACTTTTGATGATCACATCCAGTATCTTCAGACTGTGTATCCAAGGTCCCCAGGTTCCTTACTTGTCTCCACCTTTGCATCAATCAGAGAAGTTCCCATGTTATCTTTTTATCTTAGTTTTAGAGTGAAATTTAGGTTCATTTTTTAAAGGGGTTCTGTGATTATGTTTTTAGGTTGATATTGATCTACCTAAATGTTCTAACATTCTTCCACTGTGATTCTAATCTCTGTTAGAGACCTAGAAGCAATTTTCAAAGAATGTCTTGTTTCCTAAATTAGTAGTGCAGTTGTTTCTAAGTTAGTGCTGAAGGGAGGCACCCAGTTGTAGGTAATGTGAAATGAAAGTCATTCAGTCGTGTCCAACTCTTTGCAACCCCATGGACTATACAGTCCATGGAATTCTCCAGGCCAGACTACTGGAGTGCATAGCCTTCCTTTTCTCCAGGGTGTCTTCCCAACCCAGGGATCGAATCCAGGTCTCCCGCATTGCAGGCAGATTCTTTACCTGCTGAGCTGCAAAGGAAGCAGTTGTAGGTAATAAAATAAAGTAAAAATGCTGTCATCAGCCTGGGGCAAGCTCCTGGAACAAGACAGTCAAAATGCGCACATACATAGCTGCCTTCCCTGCCAGTGTCAAAGCATCGTGGCATTGTTCTCCTGTAAGTCGAACCCAGAGTCCATCTGAGCCCAGAGAGACCCCAGAGGCACTCAGACTGACCCTCAAAATGAAAGCTATTATCTCCGCTCTAGAGAAAATGGCCAGAGAATTTTGAATTCTTTTCAGCTGAGAATAAATATCTATCCCCACACCTAATACTGTGTATAAAATCCTTTAAAAACAATTTAAGTTGTGTTTCATAATACTCCTCTTTCAGTGTAAAAAGACTTAAATGGCAGCTCCAACTGCTAAATTTTATATATTTTTAAATTTAGTTAATTTATTTTTTATTGAAGGATAATTGCTTTACAGAAGTTTGTTGATTTCTGTCAAACCTCAGCATGAATCATCCATAGATATACATATATCCGCTCCCTTTTGAACCTCCCTCCCATCTCCCTCCCCACCCCACCCCGCTAGGTTGGTACAGAGCCCCCGTGTGAGTTTCCTGAGCCAGACAGCAAATTCTCCTTGGCTTTCTATTTTACATATGGTAATGGAAGTTTCCATGTTACTCCTTCTGTACATCTCACCCTCTCTTCCCCTCTCCCCATGTCCATAAACCTATTCTCTATGTCTGTTTCTCCATTGCTGCCCTATAAATAAATTCTTCAGTACCGTTTTTCTAGATTGTATATACGTGCATTCAGTTCAGTTCAGTTCGCTCAGTTGTGTCCGACTCTTCGTGACCCCATGAATCACAGCATACCAGGCCTCCCTGTCCATCACCAACTCCCAGAGTTTACCCAAACTCATGTCCATTGAGTCGGTGATGCCATCCAGCCATCTCATCCTCTGTCGTCCCCTTCTCCTCCTGCCCCCAATCCCTCCCAGCATCAGGGTCTTTTCCAATGAGTCAACTCTTTGCATGACGTGGCCAAAGCAATGGAGTTTTAGCTTCAGCATCAGTCCTCCCAATGAATACCCAGGACTGATCTCCTTTAGGATACATGCATTAGAATATGATATTTATCATACAACCTAAGCGAGAGTCAGGGTATTTTGACTCTCGCTTAGGTTGTATGATCTTACGAAGTCTCCTTAAGCTCTTTGTGCCTTAGCTCATCTGGAAAATAAAGCACTGAGATCCATTAGACCCTAGTTCTAGATCACAGTTGGGATCCCTTTGTGCCTTAGCTCATCTGGAAAATAAAGCACTGAGATCCATTAGACACTAGTTCTAGATCACAGTGGGATCCCTTTCAAGTCTGAAGACCTAGAATGATATAGTTTATATGTCATTGTATCATATGCTTCTGTTTTTCAAGTTTAAAAAATAATCCCATATTGATGGTGATTTATATTGTGGGCAATAAGTAATGTTAAAATAATTGTGGAAAGTGACATTGTTTTTTGTTGGTTCAAAAAGAAAATGATGCTTGGAAATATTATGCTACACACTGTGAGCCTGGCTGGAATCCCCACAATCGTAATTGCTATAAGCTTGAGAAAGAAAAAAAGACCTGGAATGAGGCTTTGCAGTCTTGCCAGTCCAACAACAGTGCATTAATAGACATAACTTCGTTAGCAGAAGTGGAGTTTCTTGTAACCCTCCTTGGAGATGGTGAGTGCCAAGTGTCTTTGGTTTAAGAGGTATATACATAGTAACTCTCTTTACTAGTAAAGTTGACAAGAAATTAAACTGTTTTAAAGTGATTCTTCATGGCACATACATCTGAAATTCCTGAATAATATCCAGGCATGCAAATTCATTGAATTTGTACAAAATACATATTAATAAACTTTGTAATATCTCATATATGCCAGATAAATTTGATGATTGGGGGTTTTGGGTTTTCTTTAAAGAGGAAAGGTAATTTCCTGAAACTTCTAATTAAAAAAACTTGAACCTGTAACTTAGTATAATGGGTACTAGACAGCAGTAATGTGCTGTGGCCATGTAATCCAAGCAATAAAGGAAGTTCCTAACAAAATCATTGAAATCATTGACTTCAAGTAAATTTTTTTAGTGGAAAGAATCCTCAGCATCTACTGTATGGCCCTTTTAATGTTAGGTTTTAGTTTGGAGTGAAAACCAAACTCCTTCTGTCATTGTTGCTCACTCTTTGCACTGGGATTGAAAGAATCCTGTGGCTGCCTCCATCTCAATAAATCACCGGACACTCTCCCAGCCACCAATGGTCTTTTCAACCCACCTAGACTGGAAAGCTTTATTTTATTTACTTTTCCAGACACCCCATTTCTCCCATTTAATGCTTTTAAGAATTTCTGCTCGTTTTTTTTTTTTTTTCCTGGTCAAAAGGAAAAAAAACTAAAGCTAGACATTATTAAAAGTTTTGGTTTTTTTTAAGTGTCTTTTCTTAATCAACCTTCCCATTTTCTCTTTTTAGAGGTAGAAGAAAAACCAGACTTTTCAGACTTACTTTCACACTGTAGCACAAACTAACTAGCGTCCCAGGAATCTGACTAGCTTAAGCTTTGTCTTTGCACTGACTTTTGCTGTCACTCTGCCTCACTCATAAACCTATATTGAGCAGATCTGGATAGATTCAGAGGAGAAAAGTTTAAGCAGGTGTTTTATACCAAAACTTTAAACAGGTTTCATTCCATGAAGAAACAAAGGCACAATCACATGGAAAGTGGTATATATTGGTAACTGCCCCTCTGTGTTACTGCCTTTGCAGATACTAGGATTCTTGTAAGTAATTTATGTTAATCTCTTGCAGAAAATGCATCAGAAACATGGATTGGTTTGAGCAGCCATAAAATTCCAGTTTCCTTTGAATGGTCTAATGGCTCCTCGGTCACCTTTACTAATTGGCACACACTTGAGCCCCACATTTTTCCAAATAGAAGCCAGTTGTGTGTCTCAGCAGAGCAATCTGTAAGTTGATTCGTTGTTCAATGCTCACTTCGCGAACTTGTATTGAGAGCCACCTGGGCCAGGACGTGGGCTGTGGCAGAGACTAAGACAGACACAACGCCGCCTCCTCATGGGGCTTCCACACTAGGCAGTAGATCACAAACGCAGTGCAAACACGTGGTGGTTATAGTTGTGGTGGTAGCTCTGAGGACATAGGTTCAAGATAATGAGAAGTTTGGGTTGGGACAGCTTCTTCAGACAGGACAGTCAATGAAAGTTCTCTGAAGAGGTGACATTTAATATAGGACCTGAAGAACAAAAAAGTCTCTTGAAGAGCAGGAGAACATTTCAGGCAGGGGACCCCAAAGGCAGACCAAGGCTTGCCTTGTCTGATAATCAAAACAGAGACCTGGGTAATACGGTGGTATGAATGGTGAAAAGGTGGTAGGAGATGGAGCAGGAAGAAGGAGAGAATGTGAGGCTTATAGGCCTGGGATAGGAACAACTAAAGGGCTTCATGGAGATGAAGGCATGATCTGATTTACATTTTAAGAGTAACTGTGGCTGCTCCACAGAGAACTGATTGGTGGTTTAGTCGCTAAGTCATGTCCGATTCTTGCAACCCCGTGGACTGTAGCCTGCCAGATTCCTCTGTCCATGGGGTTCTCCAGGCAAGAATATTAGAGTGGGTTTCCATTTCCTTCTCCAAGAGATCTTCCTGACCCAGGGATTGAACCCAGGTCTCCTGCACTGCAGTTTCTATACCGACTGAGCTACCAGGGAAGCCCCAGAGAAATGATCAGAGAAAGATAAAATAGAAGAAGAAAGACTGGTTTGGAGGCTCTTCCTGTGATTGAATTAGGGTAGTGAATATGGAGACAAGAAGACAGATTCAGGGATCCTCTGTAAGACAGGAATTGTTGCTAAAATAGATGCAGAGGTGAGAGAGGGGTAGGTTTTTGGCTTGAGCACCCACTGTTTCGGTGGATGGTAGCACCATTGACCACCCAGGTGAAGATGAAGGGAGGAACCTGGGAGCCAGGAAATTACTCTGATCGTTTTTAATCTCCATTATCTTCTTAACATAAAAGGACTTCAACAATGTGTGTAACCTCTTTGAAAATTGTGAATTGATGGAAAATCTTGCTCTTTTCCTCAACATGAATGAAATGGTCCCAGTAACCTTAACATCACACTTACCCTTACTCTAGTCTCATTTATCTAAAACCTCTGATTATACAGAATTCATTTAATCTCAAGCTATTTGACGGTGTTTTTCAAAGTATGTTTAGAATAGACAATCTCTTTCAACAGAAGGCTGCTGAACTCACTGGTGGAGTTTTAGGAGGTAACTGGGATCCAAGCAGTTTATTAAATGTTACTTAAGTAGCTTGACAAAGTGACTGCGCCAGCCAAACTTGGGAAATGCCTAAGCACTTATTCTTATGACACATTCCATTGTTGTAGCTTTCAAGGCTGCCACAAATACATGCAGTTATAATGACAGTGCTCAGGCAGTGTTTCAAGGTCACATTTGGTGGAGGCAATGACCTCTTTAAATGTTTGTCTTGGGTCTAACTCTCCTGAAAGCCACTATAGTATTTGAGGTTTTATTGGTTTATTAGTTTTGATATGATTAAAGGTGACCTTAATTTCCTGTTGACATTCTCCTTTTTCATTTGACAGACGTGAGTATTCCACTTAGCATATTCACAGAACAGGAGCCAATTTGGACAGAGAAATTATTCTTAAGAGAGAAAAGATAGGTACTAACATCACTGGATGTGTCAGGACCATGCTGCAGTAAGTGTGGTATTTTGTGGCCCCCTCTTAGCAACTCAGTAGCTGCTAAAATAGTAGATACATAAAAAGTAACATTCATTTCTTTGAAGTTGAGCTCAGTATGAATGTAATTATTATAATTAACTAGTTACCTAAACATGGTTGATAGCTCAATTTGAATCTGAGAGCCTAGGAAACAATCCATTCATCTGTCCATGCAGTAGTTATTAAGTAATTCCAGTGTGCCTGACACCATCTTAGAACTGAATGGTTTGCTGGAGATTCCGTGGGAATGAGCTACAAAGCTGCTCTTATGGGTTAAGGTGTCACCCTCCTACATGGTATGTTTCTGAGGGTCATGGAAGAGCTGTCTATTCACCTAAATCCTTGCATGCCTGAGACACTAAAATTTCAACTCTGTGGTTTTAGTCTAAAGGTCTGATTGGTGTTAAAATAAAAAATCTCTTGATAGGATAAAATTTTAATCAGTTAGCAGTTATTGTATTTCATTATTAATGAAGGATACGAGAACAGCCTTCAGTAGAACTAAGAAAAGACATGCAGGCAGCAGCCTATTATTAAAAGAGGAAATGGAGTGGGGCTTTGGAAAATTTGTGAAGAGTGTTGGGGGTTGAACATCAAGTTCAGCTATGATAATGTTATCTAAAGTGATTCATGGTGCCTTCCAGGCATTTCCCCAGCATCAGGGAAGCCCCAGAGCATTCAGTTTAACACCTAGAAGTGACTGAAGAGAAGCAGCAGCATTATCACTTGGTCAGGGAGATAGTTTCATCCAAGTGGTTCTCAGTGTGGCCCCCAGACCAGCAGCATCAATATCACCTAAAAACTTGTTAGAAATGCAAATTATCAGGTCTCACCTAACTTACTGAATGAGACACATGGATCCCAATCATTTGTGTTTTAATAACCCAGGTAATTTTGGTGAACACAAAAGACTGAGAATCGCTACCTATCCCATCTTTAAAAAAAAAGACAAAAAACTGAGATCAGCTTAATGTAAAAGCCAAACCTCCCTCTCATATGTAGGAATCAACCCAAGATCCTAACACATCATGCCATTCTGAAACACACATTATTAATCATATTTTAATCCAAAATAATTAACGCTGACTATCATCATCAGTAATGGAGTGCATTCATTCATGCTGTATCATTTTCCCCCTAGGAGGGACACTGGAAAGTCAAAAATTGCGAAGAAACACTTTTTTACCTTTGTAAGAAAGCAGGCCATGTCCTTGCTGACACTGAATCAGGCTGTCAAAAGGTAAGAGCTGTGAACACTGCAGGGACTTCATAACTAGAATGATTTATCCACCATCACATTAAAGTGGAACTCTTTTTCCTGCCTTGGCTCCCTTTTTCCTCTTTCCCCTCTCTCCCTTCCTTCCTGCTTTCCTTCCCTCTGTTTTTTCTGAATGGGTTATTGCAACAAATCAGACAATTACCAGCTAGAACCACTCAAAAGATTTACAGCTCTATGAAGGATTGTCTCAGCATCCTCTTCCAACCAAAACAAGTTTTCTTTTGAGATAAGAAATGGAGATGATCTTGTCATACCATGTTTACAAACAATGCTGTCACACGATGCCCTGTCTCACACGTGGCTTTCATTGTCTTCCAATGAAGACTATCAGAGTGAAAGCAAAAGCATTCCTTTAAGTCAGAATGACCTTCTGCACTCAGAGTCCCGCCTTCTTTTTCACTTTTCTTAAATTTGAATAATTGAATAAAATACAATAACAAAGAGAAATGTTTGCAATATATTATCACAATATACATCACATTATATTATTAAAATATATTATTTACTATAAAATATAATATTCATAAATATAACAAATATATCTATTTATTAATAAATATTAACATCGTTATTAATATATAATAGAATACATTTATTATTATTTATGTGTGTGCTCAGTCGTGTCCAACTTTTTGCAATCCCATGAACTGTAGCTCGCCAGGCTCCTCTGTCCATGGGATTCTCCAGGCAAGAATACCGGAGTGAGTTGCCATTTCCTACTCAAGGGGATCTTCCCAACCCAGGGATCAAATCCATGTCTTTTGTGTGTCCTGTATTGGCAGGTGTGTTCTTTAACACGTGCCACTTGGGAAGCACCCCATACATTATTTAGAAAAAAGATAAAAATACTTTATTATTTTAAGTAATAAACTATTTTTGGTATTTGAACTATTTTCAGTACTTACAAAATAAAAACATACTTAATACTTTAGGTTTAAACTTTAAAGACAGAAAATAAATGTTCTGTTTTAAATTTCTTAAAGTACATTCAATATTCTGTAGTAAGGTACCAAAAATTTGCCTATCAGTGTCCTTAGCACATGTGTTCTCTGTGTGTGTGTCTCTGTATCTATCTCTCTCTCTCTCTCTCACATGCACACACACCTAAAAATTCTGAATTTAACTATTGGAGATTTTTATTCTGTGAATCTCAAAATGTTCACAAGTCTGTTTCTTATGCAGTTCTCTTCTAATTATTTTCTCTTCTAATCCAATTCTGATTAAATGATGACCCATCTCTCTAGAAACTGCATTTGATTCATTAATCAATGTATAAGTATATTAATCACTCTTCATACATTAGCTGAACAACACATGTGCCATGGCTGACATGTGACCAAACATTTATCCTAATGACTATAATTCCTGAATTAGTTATAGCTGATCTCTAATCTGTATCTGACTAGAAATATTGAAAAAAATCTGTTTTACAATGGCTTTCAAGGCAATTCAACTGTTTAATTTGTGTTGAAAGAGTAATTAACTTCTTACCCAGCGAAACAATTGATGTTCTATTTAAACTTTCATACACTGCTTTCCTCTTTCTGACCAGCATTACCAATATTTAAGGATTCTGAGTTCAGAGCCAGTTTTTTAATTTTATGGCAAAATTTAATTAATTTCTTTATGCACCTACCTACAAATATAGTTTTGAAAGTTCTTTTCTTTTAGCTAATTGCTTTAATGCAATTCTCTCAACAGTCTGCACATGCAAAAATCACTCATAAAATAAGTCTTGATAATTTCATAGCAGAATTTTAACAAGATTTTTAATCCCATCTGAGTTACTTTTAGGGGACTTGATAGTAAGAGCAATTGTTTCAGTATTGTCACCATCATCATTCCATTTAAAATGAAATGCCACCTCATGGACAAAGGATATTCACAAATACAATCAATTATTCTTCCCACTTTCACTGTGTGGACATAGGCTTGTGGCAAAGAGTCTTTGTTTTTCTGGTTATTATTATGCCACATTCCCACCACCCCCCTCCCATTTTTCTTAGAGCCTGTTCAGTTCTTGGCTGTGTTTTGGTTTGTTTATTTTGCCAAGCAGCCTATGATCTAAAAACCACTAATGAATAAGGAGTACTTTGTCAGAAAGGTCAAATTGTCAGCCCTCCTCCTCCTGTCCTTCCAAATACAAAAGCAGCCTAACCTCCCTGCCCCCATGGAGTGATCCATGGAGGGGTCCTGGCTGATGCTGTCAATTACTCACACGGATCAGACTGAGAAGTTAAGGGAATGAGTTCTGAGCACATCCTGGCCGGCTGGATGTGGCACTGCTGTGTGATCCATGCCTCATTTGATAATGTTTTGAACTAAAATAGCTTATTTCTAAAGTAAGATTTTTCCCTCATTTAATGCAAGATCGAGACCTTTACTGAGTAGTATAGCAGAAATCATTTTATATATGGGTAATATCTGGCAAGCATTAGTATGACACAAAATGAAGTGTATTTTTAAACCTGTGAATACATAAAAATAGATTGATAGAAGGGATGTGATTTTATAATACTGGAAGAAAAAGAACTAAAATAGCTTGGTTTAAATATAGAAGACTAATGAATCTGTGTATCCTGTATCATATGCTTTTAAAGAATAAGCCACCCTTCTTTACTCCCAGGACTGAGCCATACACATTTATCATTTTTGTCTAGGTGACAAAGCTTTTTTGCTTTCTCTGTAAATGATTGATTTAGGAATAATCTTCACCAAAAAAAGTATTTTAGCCACTATCTATTTGGAAGCTTGGTGACTCAGTTAAGACCATTCTGGATTGCACCAAAATTAGATTTGAAACCAGTTTATCCATTAGTCTGACTTTATTTGAGTCCCTAATCTCAGTGAATCTCCGTAGGATAACATGAAATAAGCAATATGCAAGAAACTTGGAAAAAAAAATACAGTACCCTCTTACCTGGATCATATGTCCTCTTTGCTCATACTGAGCTCCTGGCTCTTTTCTAGGGTTTCTGCTGACAGTGTCTTCCTTTGATTCTCAGAACAACTCCATGGATACTATTATTATCCCTCTTTACAGAGGGAAAACTGAGACATGGAGAGATTAAATAAGGCCACATGGTGGTGGAACCAGAATTCAAATCTATGCCTTTTGTACTCAAGGCCAACACCTCCGACTTTTACCATGCTGCAGGAAATAATCACATGAAATTCTATAAGTCTGAACAGACTGTGTGTGTGTGTGTGTGTGTGTGTGTGTGTGTGTGTTTGAGAGAGAGATCTCGCGTGAACATCTTTTTATTTCCATTTAAGGTTTTGGGCATAAAGATTTTAAATCAGTTCATTAGGCTTTAAGAATTAAATAATGTAGAAGTGGCTGTAGCTAATGGAATTGCCATTAGAAAAATATCAAAGACATCAAGACAAGCATTCAAGTCTTAAGTTTTGAGTGGGTCAGAGGAAAAAGAGGTAAATGAGAATACACTGGAAAATATTTTACTATTCAACTAAATCAGTTGTGTCCTTAATTTTCCTTTTCTTTGTTTAAGGGATGGGAGAGACATGGTAAATTCTGTTACAAAATCGACACCGTCCTTCGAAGCTTTGACCATGCCTCCAGTGGTTACTACTGTCCTCCTGCACTTATAACCATTACAAGCAGGTAAAATTGAAATTTTCTATCAGAAACATACTGCTTTTTTGACATAAGGGCTCTTGGAATGATAAAATGTAACCATAATCAGTAACTTGTGAAAATCTAAAATGTACCATGCAATAGAATATTAAATTATTTAAATTATTGATTTAGATTAATTTAAACCATACAATGTTATTCTTAAATTGATTTTTGAGGAACAAATAGTAATAAATCTTTCCATGAAGATTTGTTAATATATTCAGTTGTATGTATATTTTATCTAAGTGCCTATAATAGGCAAGAAATATGTTATTTAAATATGAAGTTTTTTTTTAACGTAATGTATTATCATGTGGGTTTTTTTTAAAATAACAAAAGTAAGTAAAACTAGAGCGGATTTTCAAATGCTTCTCCATTGCCTCTCTGGTCTGTGTTTGTTTAGATTTAGAATTCTCTGTGCACAGATGTCTTCTCCACACAGAGACACTGTGCCCTTTTCACACTCCATACAATTTGCAACATGCTGTAGATGAGTAGCAGGGGATAAAAGTACCAACATCAGAAGTGACCTCAGTGTCACTATCAATGCCAGGAGGACAGTGAGAGCTGGGAGACTGACTCCTCCAGGCAGAAGATAGAAGCAAGGCAGAACTCTTCAGTGGTTCCACGGGAAACTATACCCACCAAGCTAGTTACTTGATTTTCTACCGAGGTCATTGCCTTTAAAAATATCCGTTGAAGACCAGGAAACAGAACAACTGATGTTCTGGTTTTATCTAGAGATCCTTTATATGCAGGTCTAAACTGTACGAGGAATTCTAGGTGCTTTCTCTGTTCACCCCACATGGGAAGTCAACATTCAAAGCCATCAGTATTTCTTTTTTTTTTCTTTTCTTTTCTTTTCTTAAATATTTATTTATTTATTTGACTGCACTGGGTCTTAGTTGCAGCATGTGGGATCTAGTTTCCTGATTAGGGATCAAATCCAGCCCCCTGCATTGACAGCACAGTCTTAGCTACTGGACCACCAGGGAAGTCCTTTCTCCTCTCATCTCTTACCTTCTTTCCCAGTCTTCCCTCCAAACAACTCACAAGAGTACAGACACACACACACACACACACACACGAGCAGATTGACAGCATTTGGCAAAATAAATTGCCTGATGAAACACTTGATACTCAGGAGACCCTTTTATGGGGTACAGCATCACCTCTGATGTACCTCAGTGTTGTTTTTAGTTCTGCTTTTCTCCTTCCCAGAGTAGCCACCAAGGCAGAACGAAGTCTTTATCTATCCTTAGCCTTGTTCAATCCACCCATAAGTTCATGAGAGCGCCTTGGGCTGAAAGTCCTCCATCCAGTAAGTCAGCACTGGGCTTTATTCAGGAGCTTGACCAATGAAGTTATGCTCTTTCAATAATTATAATTAAATATGTTTTTCACTGAAGAAAAAGGTCTAATCATTTCACTTGTTCTTATATCTTATTCTTCCATTCTTGTGTCTATCACACAACCTGACACTGTGTTAATTACTTTTCATATGTTATCTGACCATGCAAAAAGTCAACAGTCAAGAGTTTATTAGGAAATTACTTATTGACTATCTATATTGTGAGAGGCATCATATTAAACACCAGCATGCTATACAAAAAATAAGCAAAAATAAAAGGCACCACTTGCAGGCCAGCAGCTAAACAGTTTGAACATAGATGCCTGAAACAAGTGAAGAAAGTGAAGTAACACAATAAATGGATAAACTCAAGGTGACATTAACGATAACTCACAGTGCCAAAGTAACCCAAGTAAGGCAGGAAATCTGTTAGAATTCTAACACTTCATTTTGAATTGAACCCTTTGGGGACCTCATGCAAATGGCAGAAAGTATCTGGGGGAAAAAACATACTCTGTTTCATGTTCTCCAAATCTGGATACAGGAGTTTGCTGTGAATACTATAAATTTTTTCTTTGATAAACTGTATTCAATAGCCAAAGCTAATCTATAGTTCAACCATAGAGCAGATCCAGATTTGGATACATTTGTTTTCATCCCCTTCTTGACCTCTTAGGCCCCTCCGGTGACCTTTTGCTGGCATGCTACTCAGTCACCAGTCAACCCCTTGATGTACTACATGTTAATTCCAATGAGCCAGCCCTCCCAGTAGTGTATGTGCATGTACCCTGCCCTGCAGACATGTCTATATCCAAAGCAGTGACTCCAACATGGGACATGGGAGTTGAGGAAAGGAAGGGAGGGTCTCATGCTCTTGATTTTTATTCACTCAGACCTTATCAATTAAGAAATGAAGACCCACACCGCACCATTCTCTAGTGTTGTTGTACTGAGTCTTCATTGCTAGTGGGCTTTCTCTAGCTGCAGAGAGCTGGGGTTACTCTCTAGTTGCTGGGGTGTGCTCTCCGGCTCTAGAGCGCTGGCTCAGTAGTGGTGATGCACGGGCTTAGTTGCCCTACGGCATGTGGGATATTCCCCGGTCAGGGATCGAACTTTGTGTCTCCTGCACTGGAACACAGATTCTTATCCACTGAACCACCAGGGAAGTTCACCATACTGTTCTTTGAATAACAATACGCTTTTGAATATTTTCCAACAGCATGTTTTGTCTGAGAAGGTTGGGCAGTAGATGGACTGTCTCCTCCGATCCCAGAGTATCCACTAGCAGCCTGGGTAATCATTTTCTTCCATTACTGATTTCCTGTTTGAGTTAAGACACTCCTGTCACTCACCAGTACCCAAGCTTGTAGTTGCTAATTGATTTTCCACTCTTCTGCACAATTGAAGGACAGATTTGATGGGCACAATTAGAACCACCTGCTACAAATTACGAATTTCTTTTGTTATCGGGCAACTGCTCCTGGCTTAGGACTTTTAACACTTTGTAGAATAGAGAGGGGAAGAAAAATGAATCCTTACTGCTGAATAACAGAATTTTATTTGGTTGCTGTTACAAAACTTTTTGAGGCCCGGCCACTTTGCTCTCAGACAGACCACAGATGCAAAACTTGAGTTCCAAAGTTACCTTGGATAATTGTCTAAATGCATATATATCTAAACCTTTAATCCATCAGCCATGGAATATTTGTACAAAATAATCCAAAACACATTCAATTTTGAGAATTTTGCCCAAAGTGAGAAATGCTGCAATATCTCATTTCTCCTAAATTTAAATATGCATTATTTACAAGCATTTTTACAGTCCTGCCATATTCTTGCAACCACAATACCCTCCAAACACTTTTAAGTTACCTTTTGTGTGTGGCAAAATACACATAATATAAAGCTTTATCAATTTAACCATTTTAAGTGTATGGTTCAGTGGCATTAAGTACATTCATTTTATTACACAATCATCACCACCATCCAGCTCCAGAATACTTTTCATCTTCCCAAACTGAAATTTTGAATTCACTAAACACTAACTTCCCATCTCCCCTATCCCCAGCCTTTAGCAACCACCATTCTACTTTCTGTCTCTATGAAGTTGACTGCTCTAGTTAGCTCATAACTGGAATCACACAGTAGTTGTCCGGTTGTGCCTGGTTTATTTCACTTAGCCTAATGTCCCCTGTTGTTGTTTAGTTGCTAAGTTGTGTCTGACTTAGCAACCCCATGGACTGTAGCCCACCAGGCTCCTCTGTCCATGGGATTTCCCAGACAAAGATAGGAGTGGGTTGACATTTCCTTCTCCGGGGCATCTTCTCAACTCAGGGATCGAACCCACATCTTCAGCATTGCTGGCAGATTCTTAACTGCTGAGTCACCAGGGAAACCCATAATGGCTTCTAGGTAGCTCCATATTATAGCATGTGTCAGAATTTTTTTCTTTTTGAAGGCTGAAAAACATTCTATAATATGTATATTCTACATTTTGTTTGCACATCTGACCACTGATAGAAAAGAGATGCTTCTATTTTTGACTACTGTCAAAAACGCTGCTGTGAATATGGATGTCCAAGTATCGTGCAAGTCTCTGCTTTCAATTACTTTGGGTGATACACCCAGAAGTGGAACTTCTGGATCATATAATAATTCTATGTTTAAGTTTTTGAGGAATACCCATACTGTTTTCCATGGGAGCTACATTTTACATTCCCACAGCAATGGACAAGAATTCCAGTTCCTCTACATCCTAACAAAAACTTGTTATTTTCTGTTTTTACATAATAGTCATCCTAATGAGTGTGAAGTAGTATCTCATTGTGGTTTTGATTTGCATTTTCCTAATGATTAGTGATGCTGAGCATCTTTTCATGTGCTTATTGACAGTTTATATCTCCTTTGGAGAAATGTCTATTCAAGTCTTTTATTCATTTTTTAATTAGAGTGTTTGTTTTATGTCATTGATTTGTAGTTCTTTATATACTCTGGATATTAATTGCTTATCAGATACATAATTTGAAAATACTTTCTCCTATTTGTGGGTTGCCTTTTACTCTGTTGAATTGTCCTTTCATGTGCAAAAGTTTAAATTTTGATTAAGTCCAGTTTATTCTTTCTTATTTAGCGGCCTGTGCTTTTTAGTGTTTTTACCCAAGAAATTACTGCTATACTGTCATGAAAAAATGTCCCCTATGTTTTCTTCTAAGAATTTTACAGTTTTAGCTCATATGTTTAGTTCTTTGAGCCACTATGTAAATGGTATAGGCTGAGTCCAACTACATTATTTTGTAGGTGGATACCTACTTTTCCTAAAAGACTGTCTTTTCCTCAATGAATGGTCTTGGCAACCTTGTGAAAAATCATTTGACCATATATGCAATGGTTTATTTCTGGATGCTCTATTCTGTTCCATTGCTCTATATGTCTGTCTTTATGCCAGTATCACACTGTTTTGATTACTGTACTTTTTAGTAAGTTTTGAAATCAAGACGTATAAGGTCTCCAACTTTGTTCTTCTTTTTCATGTTTGTTTTTGCTATTTGAAGAGACTGTGTTTGAGATTCTGTGTGAATTATAAGATGGATTTTCTATTTCTATAAAAAATAAATCAAGATTTTGACAGGGATTGCATTTAATCTATAGGTCACCTTGGGTAGGATGGCCATTTTAACAATAAGTCTTCCAAACCATGAAGATAGAATGTCTTTCCATTTATTTGTGTCTTCTTTAATTTTATCATTTTCAGTGTACAAGCCTTTTGCCTCCTTAGTCAAGTTCATTCCCAAGTGTTTTATTATTTTTGATGCTATTATAAATGGAATTGTTCTCCTTTTCAGATTTTTCACTGTTTGTATCAATAAATAAAAATGCAACTGATTTTTTGTGTGTTGACCTTGTATCCTGCAACTTGCTGAATTCATTGATTAATTCTAACAGTTTTCTTTTTGGTAGAATGCAGTTAAATTTCTTTTTAAAAACACACTTTGGTGACCACTTTTAAAATTACACAATAGAAACATCCTCATTGCGTTTTTTAATTAAAATTTAATGTTTAGCACCAGGAACAACAGATTCTTCTCAAAGTGATGGAAAGTCAAGATGTACCTTTTTTTTTCTTATTTACATTAGAAATAAACATTTGATTTCTTGCCTTCTTAAGGGGTTGATGGTGAAATTTCATTCTGATTTTAAGACGTATTTGCCTACAAAACTTGATTTTATAATTAGGTATATACATAAGCAAAATATTTTATCATTGTCTTTCTAAAGAATAACAATTTTTACTTTACTGAATACCCTAAAGATAACTAGTTTCAAAAAATATAAAAATATTTCCATGTGTTTTTTTTTAAATCATAATATTTGAGTTAACCTCAGTGAAACCAGATAAAAAGTCCAAATATAATGAATCCCTGGAATATTCTCAAATGAAGAATTCTAAAACAAAGGGCCAGAAAAGACTTTAAAAAGGTCATCTGCTCTATTACCTAAAGCTAGAGTTTTCACAACCGTGTAAGTGTTTGAAACCAAATAGTGAGTGATAAAGAATGTAAAATGATCTCTGTTTCTTTATCAGTTGGAAACAGACACTCAAGAGACTGCATGCTATTTTCCAGGGTTAATTTCTTGGAGTACATGGTTTAGAAAAAAGATATAGTTGCTGAATTTCCCTATTAACAATCCCATTTTCTAAATTGGACCAGAAAACTAGATTCCTGTTTTTATCTGAAGGTTATGGTGGCTCAGATGGTGAAGAATCTACCTGCAATGCAGCAGACCCGGCTTCGATCCCTGGGTCACTTCTGGTTCTTCCACAGCCTTACCTGGCCCCAGTCTTAGCACCATGGATTCTGGAAGCAGGAATAAAGACAGAGGCTCGGCTGATAAATGGAGCCTCTTTGGACCAAGATCCCTCCAGAAGTCTGATTCAGGAGGTTTTGCCATCTAAGCCTACAAAGGAGCCCAGAAGCCTTCTCTGATGGAAGTGATACGTGCACAAGCCACCCAAAGGGTCGAGGAGCCAGCACCTTTCAAGCCGCCCAAGATGGATATCCCAGAGATAGAAGGGACAAAACAGCTGCCACGGGCCCACAGTCCCCGGGACTTGAATGTTCTCACACTCACTGGCTTCCAGAGCTTTCTGTTCTGGGGACTCTGCGTCGAGGGTATCAGTCCAGCTCCCTTTTACCTTGGCCCTTCCCTGGTGGCTCAGATAGTAAAAGCGTCTGCCTACATTGTGGGAGACCCGGGTTCGATCCCTGGGTCAGGAGGATCCCCTGTAGAAGGAAATGGCAACCCACTCCGGTACTCTTGCCTGGAAAATCCCATGGTTGGAGGAGCCTGATAGGCTACAGTCCATGGGGTCGCAAAGAGTCGGACATGACTGAACCAAACTTCACTTTCACTTTCATGGTGGCTCAGATGGTGAAGAATCTACCTGCAATGTGGGTGACCTGGGTTCAATCCCTGGGTTGGGAAGATCCCCTGGAGAAGGGAAAGGCTACCCACTCCAGTATTCTTGACTGGAGAATTCCATGGTTAGAGGAGCCTGGAGGGCTACAGTCCATGGGGTCGCGAAGAGCCAGACACAGTTGAGCAAATAACACTACCATAGGATTTAATATATGAGTATTATATGTAACTGCTTAAATGGTATATCTGCCAACTTAAAAAGCAAGTTTGTATTGCTTTGAGCAATGATAAATTGTTGTGAAATAGCAAGTCAGAGTAGACTAAATGAATCTAAAACAGGGGACAAACGTAAAGTGTTGTCATGAATAATGATACCAGAGGCCAAGCTGGCAGACAGCACTCTCTCTCTCTCTCTCCATTATCTGATAAATGCCACAGTACAAGGTAATAGAAGAAGCAGCAATTCCCTGGGTTTAGAACCAGCACAGTGACTAGTGGTCCTGACCATAGCCTTCAAGGTGCAGAGCTCTGCTTGCCACCTAGCATTGCAGTTTCAGGCTCCATCTGGCATGATAATGATGCTACTCTCCCTCAGAAGGGAGAAGGAAAAACAGATCTTATGTTGTGAGAGCATGAACTACTGAAAGTCTAGGGAAAATTACAACAGCATCTACATAGTATTTACTTTTATATACCTTCTTTTTGAAGCATATTTTATGCAAGTTTCTGCCACTGCAATCTGATTTTAACAATAACTTTAATAATTTCAAATGTGTGCCTTGTAGATTATCAATAGAGTAGCTGCAGAAAATATTTACTAAAGGATATGGTTTGCAAGATGAGTGTCATGGATGCTTAATATCACTGTTGCTGGTGATGCTTATAAGGCAGTTAAAAAGTTTGCTCCTCTGTGTTCTTTTCCCTTTCCCTCCTGTTATTTCCCTTGCGGCTCCTCTAATCCTGAATGACCCCATTAACTTCACTTAGCAAGTTAAAGATGCACCATAATGAAAAAAATCCAAAATTGGATGAAAAAGTCTAATCTGCTCTCTCCTTAGGTTTACCTTGGTAATTTCATCAGGCCTTTCTTCTCCCAGTGACTTGACCAGTCTGGCCGAAATTTACCATTGTTGGAAAGGTGTTTCTTCAAAACATTATATGTATTGAAAGTAAATTTTTCAAGATAGTTTCCAATTTAACTTAGAATTTCAATGCTGGTTAAATTTTAATCCATGTTTCTGTCAAGTATTCATGTGGAAGCATGTATACAAATTTTCTAGATTCTGCTTTTGATGCCTTCATGGTGAGGAGGGAGCAGTGCCATCAGTCAGGGAACACTAATTCATTCAGCTGTTTGGGGAAATATAGTGGGTGTACTTCTCTGGATTAGTTCCTAGTGTTTTAAATTTATCTTCAGTGAATAAGCACATCTGAACACATTTGAATAAGCCAATGACTCCATGTGCCTGTGCACAAACTGATTTGGGAGACATATAAGTCCTACTCCAATTTCTGTTCCATTCTTACCAGGCAAGTGTGGTGAGTGGGTGCAAGTGAACTCCATCAGCAGATGCTCATTCAGAAAAGCAGAATATCCTTCCTTCTCCCCCCACCCCCGGAGCCGGCTGCCCAGCACATGCACATTACCACGTGGTGTATGCTCTGTGGCCTAATCACACCATAGGGCACAGGTTGCACCAAGAAATGCATTGCTAGCATTCCGGCCTTTACAAGCTACACTCTGAAGCTGGAACTGGACTCTGTTCCTTGAAAGAACTGAGCACCAACTTTGAAGGATCAAATTCTCCTCCCTCGTATATTTCTGGGAATTGCACTTATGTTTGGCATTTATTAGCAATGTTCAGGGTCTCTGAGTATTTTTCTGTCTCATATTCTAAAGAATTCATGAGAAATGCTTACTCTGGTGCCATTCTGTGCACCTCATTATGTTTTAATGACATTTTTTATTGCCCAGAAACTTACTATAATCATTTCCTTTTCCCTTTTTAAGGTTTGAACAGGCTTTTATTACCAGTTTGATCAGTAGTGTGGTAAAAACGAAGGACACTTACTTTTGGATCGCTCTTCAAGATCAAAATAATACAGGAGAATACACTTGGAAGACGGCAGGGCAGAAATTGGAGCCGGTGAAGTACACACACTGGAACACACGTCAACCCCGTGAGTAGAGGGGCCCTGTCACACCACTTCTCCCTCCTGTTTTCTTTACCCCCAGATTCCATCCACCTTGTGGTCTACCTCCTTTGAATCTTCCTCAGTGTTTTCTTAAGGCATAAATCAACTAAAACCACATAAATCAATTACCACAGGTTCTCACGGGGTGGTTTATGGCTGATCGTTTTTAGAAGTATAATCCATATGAGTCATTTGACAAGTTCAAGGTATAAATTCATTGCTCAAGATCACACATGCCTTTATTAGCAGAAGTCCAGTTTCTCCCTCCTAAAATCTCTTTCTCATCCACCCTCATTGTCTAAGAATCCTAGGGGCTTACTCAATTCAGAAAAGTCCATCATACTTCAAAACAGAGTGAATGGGCACATTTGAGCATATCTAGTATGTTCATAGTCAATGCCAGGTGACTTTGCTGTGAAATGTTAGTTAGCTAACATTCTTGCTAGTCCATCTCCTCCGTGGATTTCTGTGGTACCTTAGCTGGGATTTCAGTTTCAGGTCTATTAATTCTTCACTTTCTTATGCTCAGCTCTGGATCCCAAAGTATGAAACTGTGCCAGAGAAGCTAATGGTTTCAGCCACAATCTACACTAGAACCAACCCCTGCAGACCAAACTTCTGGTCACGTGTTAATCTTAGGTCACCAACCTAGATCCAACACACCTTTATCTCAGTGTGAGCATTTGGATGCCTTGCTCCCTCTCTTGCCTTTGGATCTCCAACAAGCCTACCCCAGACAACAGGCAATAGGTTACCTTCAAATCTGTATCTGGAGGAAATGAGTTAGAGGCCTCAAGCTCTTCCCTGAGGAAAGATAACTATTACTATAATATTATAATAATTGCTATTATATATCAAATATTTAACAAAAATTAGTCAGAGGACTAAATACTAATTAAAGGATATTTTTAGACTGGTTCAAAAACTAAGACCCAAGTATGTTGTCTATGAAAACCCACTTTAAATATAAAGACACATGTAGATTAAAAGTAAAGGGATAAAGATATTATGCTAACATTAATCAAAAGAAAGTAAAAATAGCTATATTAATTTAACACAGAGCAGACTTCAGAACAAGAAAAGTTTTCAGGGATAAAAATGGACATTACATAAAGATAAAGGAGTCAGCGCTAAGACATAACAGTCCTTAATGTATATGTACTTAACAATAGAATAGCAAAATATATGAGGGAACAACTGATAAAACTGCAAGGAGAAATGGGTGAATCTACTATTATAGTTGTATATGTTAGCACCCCTCTGTCAGAAATGGATGGGTCCAACAGACAGAAAATCAGTAAAAACAAAGCTGAAATCAACAGCACTATCAATCACCTGGATATGACTGATTATCTATAGACTGCTTCATCCAACAACAGCAACAGCAGATTACACATTCTTCTTGAACTGACATGGAACATTTGCTAAAACAGACTGCATTCTAGGCCATAAAACACACCTTAACAAATTTAAAAGAATAGAAGTTGTACAATGTCTTCTATTAGTTCACATGAAATTGAACTAGAAACAAATAACAGAAAGATATCTGAGAAAATTCCAAAATACTTGGAGATTAAGCAACACTTAATTAAATGAAAATACATTTGTGAGATGTAGAGAAAGCAGGGCTTAGAGGGAAATTTATAACACTGAATGAATATATCAGAAAAGAAGAAATATTTAAAATCAGTAACCTGATTTTCCACCTTAGGAAACTAGAGAGAGAAGAGCATATTGAATCCAAAGTAAGTAGAAGAAAAGAGCAGAAATCAATGAAATTGAATACAGAAAATCAATAAAGAAAATCAAAGAAACCTGATTCTTTGAAAATAGCAATGAAATTAATAAGCCTCTAACCAGTTTCACTAAGAGAGGAAACACAAATTACTAATATCATAAATGAAAAAAGGGACATCACTATAGATCCCACAGACATTAAAAGGATTTAAAAAAGGAATATTATGAGCAACTATATCCATAAGTTTGACAACTTAGGTGAAAGTTACCAATTCTTTTAAAGATATAATCTGCCAAAACCCACAAAAGGAAAAATGGACTATCTGAATAAGACTATATCTATTAACAAATTGAATCAGTAATTCATAACCTTCCAAAACAGAAAGCAGCAGGCTCGTACGGGTTCAGCTAGTGAATTCTACCAAACATTTTAAGTAAGAAATTATACCAGTTCTCTACAACCTCTTCCAGAAGTTAGAGCAGAGAGACTACTCTGTAACTCATTGTATGAGGGCAACATTACCCTACACCAAAGTCAGAAAAAGACAGTACAAGAAAACTACAGACCAATATACATGAACATAAACACAAAAATCTTAACAAATTGAATTTAAAATGTATAAAGAGAATTTATACACTTCAATCAAGTGGAATTTATTCCAGGTATACAAAGCTGGTTCAACATTTAAAAATCTATTAATGTTTTCCATCACATCAACAAAAGAAAAATCACATGATCATATCAATAGATGCAGAAAAAGCATCTGACAAAATTCAATACCCATTCATGTTAAAAAACTATTAGCAAACAAGGAATTGATGGGAACTTCCTCAACTTGATAAAGAACATTTACAGAAAACCCAGATATCATACTTAATGGTGAAAAACTAGCAGCTTCCCTACTAAGATTAGGAATAAGGCAAAGATGTCTCTTATAAACCCTCTTTTAAACATTGTACTAGAAGTTCTAACTAATGCAATAAGACAAGAAAAGCAAATAAAAGTGTACAGATTGGAAAGAAGGAAATAAAACTTTGTTCACAGATGACATGATTGTTTATGTAGAAAACTAGAATAAAAAAATTCCTCTAGCTAATAATCAATTATAGCAAGATTGCAGGATACAGGATTAATGTACAAAAGTTAGTTGCTTTTCTGTATATCAGCAGTGAAAAGAGGAATTTTTAATTACAAACATATTACATTAGCACCCTTCAAAATGAAATTTTTAGGTATAAATCTAACAATATGTATAAGATCTATAGAGGAAAATTACAAACTTAATGACAGAAATCAAGAAGAAATTAATAAATAGAGAGTTCATGTTCATAAACAGAAAGACTCAATATTGTCACGATGTCAGTTCTATACAAATTGACCTACAGACTCAAGGCCATTCCAATCAAAAAACCAGCAAGTTATTTTGTGGATACTGACAAACTGGTTCTAAAGTTTATGTGGAGAGGCAAAAGACCCAGAATAGCCAACTCAGTATTGAAGGAGAACATAGTCAAACAATTGACACTATTTGACTTCAAAAGCTATTATAAATCTACAATAATTAAGACAATGTGTGTGTGTGCATGTTTAGTCGCTGAGTCACGTCCAACTCTTTGTGACCCCATTGACTGTTGCTCCTCTGTCCATGAGAGTCTCCAGGCAAGAATACTGGAGTGGGTAATCATTGACTTCTCTAGGGGAGCTTCCTGACCCAGAGATCAAATCCAGGTCTCCTGCACTGCGGGCAGATTCTTTACCATCTAAGCCACCTGGGAAGCCCAATTAACACAATATGGTTTAGCAAAAAAAGAAATAGAAATCAATAAAACAGGATAAAGAACTCAGAAATACACTGACACAGAATAGTCAACTGATCTTTGAAAAAGAAGCAAAAACAATACAATGGGAAAAACTTTTTGACAAATGGTGCTTAGGCAGTTGGATATCCACATGTCAAAAAAAGAAAACATCTAGACACAAAGCTTACACACTTAACAAAAATTAACTCAAAATAGATCATAGATCTAAATGTAAAACATAAAATTTTACACCCCCAGATGATAACAAAAAAGAAAACCTACATGACCTTAGGTATGGTATGACTTTTTAGATACAACACCAAAAGCAAAAATCCATGAAATAAATCATTGATGAGCTAGATTTCATTAAAACTGAAACTTCAATAAAACTTGTGCTGTGAAAAAGATAATGTCAAGAGAATGAGAAGACAAGCCATAGACTGGAAGAAAATATTTTTTAAAAAATAATCACATCTGATAAAGGATTGTTATACAAAATATACAAAGTACTCTTAAAACTCAACAATAAACAAAAAACCCAGTGTAAAATGGGACAAGAGATCTTAAACAAAGAAGATATATAGATCAAATGTAAGCAAATGAAAATATGTTCAATATTATATGGCAATAGGAAATTGCAAATTAAAACAACAATGAGATGCTGCTACACACTTTTTGTTTACTGTTTAGTCGCTAAGTAGTATCCAATGCTTTTGAAACCCCATGGACTGCAGCCCCGCCAGGCTCCTCTGTCCATGGGATTTCCCAGGCAAGAACACTGGAATGGGTTGCCATTTCCTTCTCCAGGGGATCTTCCCCACCCAGGGATTAAACCCATGTATCCTGCATTGACGGGTGAGTTCTTTACTACTGAGCTATCTGGGAAGCCCCTTCGCACTTACTAGAATGACCAAAATCCAAAACACTGACGATACCAAATGCTGGCAGGGATTTGGAGCCACAGGAGCACTCATACATTGCTGGCAGGGATGCAAAATGGTATAGCCACTTTCAAAGACAGGTTGCCAGTTTCTTAAAAAGTAAACATACTTTTGCACTCCTTGGTGTTTATCCAAATGAATTGAAAACTGATGTTAACACAAAAAACCTGCATACAGATTTTTTTTATAGAAGCTTTATTCATACTTGCCAAAGCTTTCGAGCCATCAAGATGTCCTTTAGTAGATGAGTGAATAAATAAACTGTATCACATGCAGACAATGGAATATTATTCAGTGATAAAAAGAAAGGAGCTGTCAAGTCATGAAAAGACATGGAGAAAACTTAAATGCATATCACTAAGTGAAAGAAGCCAATCTGTAAAGGCTGCATACTGTGTGATTACAATCATATGACATTCTGGAAAAGGCAAAACTATGGAGACAGTAAAAAGATTAGTGGTTTCCAGAGCCTTGGGGAAGTAAGAGTTTATAGGCAGAGCACAGAGG